CGCCTGCCAGCAGGCTCTGGGTGGTGGCAAGGGGGTCATGGTGGAGCGGGGCCTCTCAGAGCCCTGCTGCGGGGCACAGCCTGGCCCAGGTACTCCGAGGGCCTCTGCGTTTTCGCCCCCGGGGACAAAACCCGTGCCCACTTTGTCGTCTGTCCCCTCAGGGTGGCGGATCGTACTGCGGCTACAACTGGCCTGAAGGGCTGCATCCGCCTCCTGGACGTGAACAACCAGATGTACGACCTGCGGGAGAAAGGCAGTGATGTGCTGTATGGCAGCGGGGTGGGCGAGTGCGGCAATGACCCCTGTCCCCCCAACCCCTGCCACCACGGTGGCATCTGCCACGTCAAGGAGGCAGAGATGTTCCACTGCGAGTGCCTCTACACCTACACCGGTACGGGGAGGGGGCTGCAGACAGAGTGTTGCTGGGGGTCCTGATCCCACTGGCTGGCCCTGCGGGATCCCAGAGCTGCTGGGGCTCATGTTAGGAGCTACAGTGGGGAGGGATGCGGTGGGGAGTGTCAGCAGTGGGTTGGAGGGAGTAATGTAGGATGAAGCCGCATCTGGTGAAGAGCACAAATTTAGGATGTAGACCTATTCATGCACACATGAGACAAGGGCCGGGATCTGTCTGTTCTCATGCACAAAAAAAAATTCCTCTTGCGTTTTAGGGGCAGTGCAAAGCGTAGTCTGGCAAGGGTATTGTCTGCCACTTGCGGGGTCTGCTGCAAGGGACTTCTTGGGTCGTGGGAGTCTAGCCTGAGACAGGAGAAAAAGGCTGGCAGGGCCATCCGCAGACATCAGAGGCATTCGTCTCTGGCCAAATCGTGCCTGATGGCTGTTGATTTGGGACGTGGATATGACAGACTGCCTTTTCTGCTGCAGGACCAACGTGTGCCGACGAGAGGAATCCCTGCGACCCTACGCCCTGCCATGTCTCTGCCACCTGCCTGGTGCTGCCAGAGGGAGGTGCCTTGTGTGCCTGTCCCATGGGCCGGGAAGGAGACTTCTGCGAGCTAGGTGGGACGGGAGCTGGCAGAGGAGCGGGTCTGGGGAAGGGGGTGGAACTGAAGGTGCTCGTTTCCCCAGCCTGGGTGGCCAGGAGGCCTTGCCTGCTGTGGCTCTGGGGCACTGGCTGAAGCTGCTCTGCCTCCTCTTCCTCACCATTACCTCGTTTGTGCCCAGTGACAGAGCAGGACCACACCATGCCCTTCCTCCCGGAGTTCAATGGCTTCTCCTTCCTGGAGCTGAACGGGCTGCAGACCTTCGTTCCTGACCTGCAGTAAGTGCCAGGGAACAGGAGAGGGGCAGGCGAGCGCCTGGCCTGCGTGGCTGACTCGGGGGAGACAGCTCGTGCTCTGAGCATCGCCAGTCACACACTGGCTCTCCCTAGAGGTCTTTGGTTTTTGCTGGAGATTTTCTCCAGAGGGACTGGCGTTGCCTGAATCCCTGCAGCCGGTCCGAGCCGGCACCACACCCCAGGTGCTTGGCATTGCAAAAGGCTGGGGAAATAGGCACTGCGGAGCAGCATCCTGAACGTGGCAGGTGTATCTCTTACCTGGCAAGGGTGCCTTACAGGGGTGGCATCTCCCTGCCATGCCCATTGTCCCAGGCAAGCAGAGGTCTTCCAAGGGCTTGGCACACAGGGGCAGAGGAAGAGAGCGTGTGGGCAGCTGGATCGGAGGGTATCCACAATCCTTCTCTCCTCAGGGACAAAATGTCCATGGAAGTTGTGTTCCTGGCCAAGAACCCCAGCGGCATGATCTTCTACAACGGCCAGAAAACAGATGGCAAAGGGGACTTTGTCTCTCTGGCCTTACACGATGGCTACCTGGAGTACAGATACGACCTGGGCAAGGGGGCAGCTGTGCTCAGGTAGGGCGGGCTGCGGGCTGGGTTGCTGCTCGGCAGGGTGGTGGTGACGGCAGGGGCAGGAGAGGGACAGTGCTGGCTTTGAGTTCCCCTCCCCAGAAAACCATAAGGAAGCAGTGGGGGAGCAGGCTTCATACTGCCTTCAGCTGTGTGCAGTGCTGGCTCTTGGTCGACTGTACCGCTGTGGGACAGGGCAGAGCTGGGCCTGCCCCCACCTTGTCCCTCTTTTCCAGGCTAATGCCAGGCTGTCTGCGTGGCTGGGAGCTGGGGCAGCCCAACCCAGTCAAGCTGTGGTGGCCTGGGCAGCCCAAGGTGGTCAGGGAAGCGTTGGCAGGTTGTGACGACAGAGCTCTCACCCATGTGTCTTCTCCCTTCTTACCATCAGGAGCAAAGAGCCAGTTCCTCTGAACACCTGGATAAGTGTCTTGTTGGAGAGGAATGGGCGCAAAGGGGTGATGAGGATCAACAACGGCGAGAGGGTGATGGGAGAGTCGCCGGTAAGTTGATAGGACAAGGAGAGCCAGAGGGAGCTCTCTGGGCTTCCAGCCCTGCTCCTTTCATGTGTGAGATCAGCTGAGAAATTCCCAGGCTTGTGGGCTTTTAATCCCTGTGGTTTGTGGCTTTAAGGGTGGAGGAGTGGGCAAGAACCAGGGAGAAAAGGATGCTTCAGGGCAGAGCTTGCCTGCCCCTCTTAGCTGCTCGGCAGCCTGGTCGCGGTGCTGTGGGACAGCACCTGCACATCTCTCCCAGCTCATCCTCCCTCCTGTCCCCTACGGCACAGAGCTCAGCCCCTTTGCCAGCAACACGTGCGCCCTGATTCTCGGGTCCCTGGCCTCAGGGATGTGTCTGACTTGCACCCACCTCGTGCACATGCACCCACCCCCCTTTCCCTTTTCCGCAGGTCCTCGAACGGGCTTGTGTTGGGGTGGGTACACGAGGCACCCCAGCAGCCCGTGCTGCTGCTGCACTGGCCCGTGTGGGTTTCAGCCTGTGCCTGGTGCTGGCTCAGAGCCCCTCCGTGGTGCCAGCTGCGCAGGGAGCTTGGCCGGGAGGAAGCTGCGGAGCAGTAAAAGCCCCGTTGCACTGTTGCTGCTGCATCCATTAGTGCCTTCTCTGCTCTGTGTCCAAGCTGGCAGCTTACCTCTCTGACTTCTCCCTGTGCCCTGTCCCCTCTGCACTTCTGTCTCCGCACAAACAGCGGTTCCCCAGGGTTTCGTGGCAGGGCCACTGGCCTTCCTTCCACCCGCCTTTCCAGCAGGGAAACTGATAATGCAGGAAAAGCCCCCATTGCTGCTGAACTCGTCCTTAAGATCCACCTAGAAGCGCAGCATCAAGATTACACAGCATGCCTGCAAAAGAAAGGATTTCTTCCTTCCCCCGCTCTCATCTTTTCAAGCTTCTCTCCAAGAGCAGGTTACCCCTGCAGGATGGCAGGACAACAGCAGCACCTCCTGCAGTTCCCCTTCCCCTTCCCTGGCCACCCTGGGCACTGGTTGCAGTGGTGGTCATGCAGCCCCGCATGTTAACGATGTTACCCACTGATCTCCTTTTTCTCTCTCTTTCTCTCTCTCCCTTTGATTTTCGTTTGTATTTTTCCCTCCCCTGCTGTCTGGATCCCAGAAATCCCGTAAGGTACAGATAAGTATGACCCAATGCACCTCCATCTCATCTGCCATTGGCACGTTGTTCTTTTTTGTTTTCCATTCCAATCTCAAGTGTTTCACCTACTCCCCTTCCCATCTGACCAAGCAGCTCTAGGATCTCTGTAGATTAGAGACACTCGTTTCCTCTTCCGTCATTAATTTCCAGCCAGTTGTTACATTTCGTTTCGGAAGCATTTCAATTAATCCGGTCATGTTTCTTGTTTAACTCCACTGAGCATTAGCTAGTGATTCATATAACTGCATCTTTGCCTCGCTGCTGTGCCTCTGGGTCCATCCCAGGTGCTCGGGAAAGGACATCGCTCCTGTTGGGTGCCCAGTGAACCTTGTGCCTGGAGACTCCCTGCGCTGTGCAGTCGGGGCTGCAGGGTGACGGCAAGGAGGGGCCTTACACCTCCAAACACACAGCCACGTGAGATGGCTACAGCCCTTTTGCTGTAGGGGACCTGTAGCAGCCAGAGGAACCCAAGCTGCATCCCTCTGGTATGCGTTTGGTTTTAAACATTAGCCCTGGTGAGCCTGAAGCTACATTTCTTCACTTGGTTCTGGGGCCTCCGCCTGAGAGCGTTAGAACACCATTGCCCCAAAATTAAATGCCCAGGAAATCTTTTCCTTGTGTTCTTGCTGGCAGGTGAGACCTTGCAGCTTGGCACAAGGAGGTTCGCTGGAGGCCCCTTTCTCCCAGTGCCCTTTACACAGCCTGGTTTGGTGCTGGATACACGGAGCTCGTCTGCTCCCTGTGCTCGGCAGCAGCTCAGATGGCAGTGCCATGGCCGGTGGCAGGGCAGAGAGGCAGAGGGCTGCGGGGCATGTGGGATGGCCAGCACAGGCTGGAGCAGCTCAGGGAATGGAGGGGACAGTGGAGACCGGGTACCGGGTGGGATGCCGAGCCCAGTCTACCTTTCCCTGCCCAGCCCCCTTGCTGCCTGCCTGCCCTGTGCTGGGCCCTGGCATGCTTCCCAAGGGACTCTTCTGCTCCATCCCCTGCAGATGGCTCGCGGTGCCCCAACACTAGCCCATGCCATGAGGGAGAAGGGCAGAGAGTGGGCAGCACAGGGGACAGGCAGGTTGTGCTTCTTTCTCACCAGCCTGGTGCCTGGCTGTGCATGGTGCCAACTCTGCCTGCCCTGCTGCCCTGCTCTCAGCCTCCTCTAGTGCCCGCAGAGCCAGGGCAGGTGCCCAGCCTGCAGCTTAGGGACATCCTGACACCTTCTCCATCTCACCTTTTCCCTTCTCCTTCCCAGGTGCCTCACACTTTCCTGAACCTGAAGGAGCCGTTTTATGTGGGGGGAGCCCCTGATTTCAGCAAGCTAGCTCGAGCAGCCGCCATCTCCACCAGCTTCGATGGAGCTGTGCAGAGGGTAAGGCCTCGCTGGACAGCCCAGGGCAGGTGTCTGGCTGGGCGATGTGCAACGCGTGCTGGCATTGCTGGAGGGGAGCGAGGACAAGCCTGGGAGCGGGCTGCCCCAGCATACGGGTCCATGTGCACAGGGGGGTGGCAGAAGGGAGGGCAGGGATGCATCAGAGGAACATGCAGGGCTTGGAGTGGGATTCCCATCTGACCCTCCCCCTGAGGATACTGGCCGCTGGCCCCCACCAGCCCCGCAGAGAGGCAAGGTGGTGAAGGCGAACTCCTGTGTGTCCTCTTTCCTGCATCTCCCAGATCTCCGTCAAGGGGGTGCCTGTGCTGAAGGAGCAGAACATCCGCAGCGCCATTGAGATCTCCCCCTTCCGAGGCCACCCCTGTACCCAGAAGCCGGGTCCTTGCCAGAATGGAGGCACTTGCAGCCCCCGGCTAGAGAGCTACGAGTGTGCCTGCCAGAGGGGCTTCTCCGGGGCTCACTGCGAGAAAGGTGAGGCTGCCAGGGCAGGGCTTGCCACAGATCCTCACCCACCAGCCATACCCAGCAATGAAACTGCTTTGGAGATGAGCTGGTGGCAGCAGGACAGCGCACCACTCAGGCCAAGCCTGAGGTCTTGTCCCTGTTGTGGCTGCTGGGAGGGATCCCGGGGAACAGGCTGTGGCAGTTGCAGGCTGGCACTGTCGTGCCATTTCTCAGAAACGCAGGCGTTACGCTGCATGCGGCAGGGCAAGTGCTGCAGCCCACAGGTAGAGCACCCAGCCCTGCCACCTCCTCCGGTCAGTGCATTCTGACCCTGTCTTACATTGCTGTGCCCGCTCGAAGCAGCCTGGGGCAGGCAAACGCGGCTCGGTGCCGTAGCAGATTGACCTGGAGGGCCTGAGCAATGTCCAGCTGTCTCCAGGTCAGGTTTTCCTTCCTGCTGCCTCTTGAAATTAGCGCTTGGGCCATCACTGAGCCCAGGTTCCTCCCCAGCTTCAGCCAGGAAACTGATAAGGCTGCAGATGTCATGCCAGTTGGCTGCAAAACAGGGAGATGGTCCAAACTCACGGGTTCTAAAGCCACAGCAAAGCTTTGCAGGGGCTTGCCTAGGGTGCCACAGTGCTGACATGCCCCGAGGGAGGGCGGGTTTGTGCATGCCTTCGTCCTGTTAGGAGTGCTCAGTTTAAAGGGGGATTTTCCTAGTCTCCAAGGACGGACAGGCTGTGCTATGTTGCTTGACAGCTCTTCTTTTTCCTACCTCCAGTGATCATTGAGAAAGCTGCTGGAGATGCAGAGGCCATTGCTTTTGATGGTAGGACATATATGGAGTACCACAATGCCGTGACAAAGAGGTAACTTGGCTGCTAAGCTGAACCAAGGTCAAAGCAAGGAGTTAGGGCTGTTAGCAGGAGGAGGAGCTAGGGTGGAGGAAGTCCAAGTGCAGTGCTCAAAGAGGGACAAGCCAAACTGGGGTCGTGAGCCCTTGCTTCCAGTCCTCACCTCTAAAGCTGCCTTCTTGGCAGAAGACTTTCCCCATCACAGCAGTGCCTGGCCAACTTCAGGTCTGGATCCTCTTGTTCTGCAGCCACCTTCTGGGTTGGCATAGTCTGGTTTGGGAGTGGGATGAAGCCGGCTGAGTGCACCCCATGAAGATGGTTAACATGGCCCGTGCCCTGCTCCTGGTGCGTTTCTTTGCCCACGTGCTCAGGAATGGGTCATGGGCTGGGTGAGCTGTGTGGAGGGGAGAGGTGGCTCTGCCTGTGGTTTGATTCGTGCCCGTCTGCCAGCACCTTTGTCTCCGTGGCTGTTTGTGCAGCCAGGGTGGGTTCTGCCAGCAGGCATGGGCCGTCGCTGCTGCGGGACCTGGCTGGGCTTCTCCAGCAGCTGCTTGACCCTGACTCCGTGGGCTGGGGTATGTGTTTGGACCCTGTGGGGTCTGTGGCTGTACTGGTCCCTGGGGCTTCTCTCAAGATGAGCAGAGCCCAGTACACAGCTGCTGACTGGGGTCTTCCTCAGCCTCTGGGATGGACATTTCTTCTGCAGGACACTCTCGGTCTGCTGCAGTCTGACTCAGTTCCCTTCCTCAGCACTGTGCTGCTCCAGCCCCACAGTTAATTCCCAGCTCCGTGGCACTGGGTCAGGGTATTGGATCAGGCTCTGTCCATCTGCCTCTTACACCCCCAGATCCCCTGCTGCCCTAACACTCTGCCTGGGGAGGATGTCTGTGTTGAGCTGTTGTTTGTCAGTCTCTGTCTGTCTGTCTCTTCTCAATGTCCTTGTTCTTTGTTTTCAAGCCACCTGACCAATGAGATCCCCGCGTAAGTACAGTCATCCTCACTGCCCAGCTCCAACCTGCAGCCATCTGCCCTCCACCATGTCTCCCATTGCCACCCTGGGGAGCGCAGGGCAGGTGTGGGAGTGGGATACAGGCACTGTCCAAGGGTCTGCCATGGGCAGGCGTTCCCATTTCAGGGTGAGGAGGACACAGGTACTGACTGCACCTCTGGCAGCTGTACAGGGGCTCAAAGGCAGCCAGGATGCAGCAGGAGCTGCACTGCCTGGCTCTGCCGTGATTGGGTGATGTCCCAGCAGCGTGCTGCAACTTAGCTTGAGTTTAAGTGGATGAGCAGAGAGGAAGAAAGTTCCTGTGACTTACCTCTTCCATCAGCAGTGAAGGCGTTGACGATGGAAGTAAGGGGTACTAATCCTGCCCTGAGTTTTCCAGCACAAATGTGGCATTGATGCTGTAGCGAGGAGGCCAGGCTGGGTGCTAGGAGAATGTTCCTCTGCCAGGGGTGCGTGACCTGGGCATGCAGTGCGGCCAGGGGGGAGAAGGGCCTGGGCAGGCAGACTGGGAGAAGAGCTTCTTCCCCAGAGTGGGCTTGGCAGCTTTGGTTTGCTGTCTGCCTGTCTTTGAGTGGCAGGAGAGGAAGAAAAGCACTGGTTCACGTGGCTGTATTCCCCACTGTGTCGGGGAGAGTTGGAGTGATAACCTGCCTGTCACATCCCCATTTCACCTCATTTTCTGCAAGCCGGGGTCAGACGGAGGGTCGGGAGGCTGAGTTGCTTGCATGTATGCATGTCAACTCCTGGGGAGCTGCAGAGCCCGTCACCCGCACATTCGCAACAGCTGGGGAGGTGCTCTGGGTTGCTCTGGTGTTTTGGAAAGGGCTTTCTAGGAGCCAAGCACCCTCCTAAGCTAGACAGTGCTCTGCAGCAGTGAGAGGTGTGTAGTTGCCTCCATCACAGCTCCACCAGGTCGTGGGGTGCCCAGCTGTCCCTCTGCACAGACACGAGGCACATTCCCGCAGGCAAGCGGAAAGCTGCTACCTTTGCGTCTTGCCTTTCCCTGTGCTCTGCCAAGGGCAGGTCGCCATTCCCAGCCTCCTCCCCGCCTGAGCCAGCCTATTTTGGCTGTGCATGCCCCATCCTGCAAGGGAGCTTAGCACTTCTCCCCAGATCCCTCTGCTGGGATTTGGCAGCGGCACTCGCTAGCCCCGCCAAGGCTGAAGGACCCATTGGGCTGCCCATAAAAAGCAGTTTCTTCTGCCTCGGGGCAGACACCGGGGTGTGCCCTGGGCAGGACTAACAGTCCAATTGCTTCTCTGGGCTCTGCTGGTCATGACATGCCTGTATGTTTTTTTCGAACGTACATTTTTATATATCCATCTAGTTGGAGCTGGTTGTAACGCCGGGCCTGTAGCCCCTAACGCTTGCAGGCAGTGCCAGCAGGACAGCTGTAGCCCTGGGTTTCCCCTTCTCCATGCCCGCCCTGCTCCCCGAGGCTGATGCAGTTCAGCCATCTGCCTACCTGGGGAAGGGTCCTCATGCAGAGCTATAGACCAAAAGCTGCCTTGCCCAGCTCTGCTGCCCGCTGTCCCGTCCTGGGGCCCTTTGCTGGAGACACATCCCAGCAGGGCAGCACGGGGGGGTTTGCAGAAGCACTGATAGTCCTGACCCGGAGAGCGTTGCATAGCCCTTGCATCCCTGGGACGGGGCTGTGCTTGCTCTTTGGTGTTATTACACTCACCCTGGCTAAGCAACAACTTGCAGACTTGTCTTGCTGGCTTCAGGAAACTCAGCCCCTGGGGCAGTGGCTGAGGCTTCCTACTCGTGCTGGGCAGTGTTCTCAGCTTGGGCGTTGTGCAGGGTGAGGAGCTGTCGCTGCTGAGCGGGGCTGCTCCCCACCTGTGAGCAGGGTGGGAGGGAAGGGTCTCCTCCGCTGTCCCGCGCTTATCGCATGCTCCCCTTTCTTCCTGCATCTAAGTCCCGAAGCGCTGGACTATCCTGCGGAGCTCAGGTGAGTCTGTGCCAGGCTTTCAGCTCGTGTGTCTCGTGCTCTGCTGTTGCTGCCGCGGCGTGTCTCTGTGTCTGTGCGTGTTCTTTGTGTCCATACCCTTGGCTTTTTATTTATAAGGGATACAGCTCTGCAGATGGTGAAGGTAAACGTGAAGGAAGCCCTGTCCCACCAGCATAGGAACAGCAGCTCCTCTGCAGCTCCTTGCTCCTGGGGTACCTAGACAGCACATAGCTACAAGTGAGGGGAGAGGCTGTTCTTTGCCAGTACAGCGGGCTTCATGCAGAGCCCTCGTCCAGCCCTTTGGACGCAGTGTCCCTTGGGAATAAAAAGCTGTCTGTGTCGCTCGTGTTGTCTGGTCTATGTGTGCACTTGTGTCAGCAGCATGTCTCAGAGCATCCCAGGAGAGTGGATGGTGACTCCGTATGGCAACCTTACCTGTTGCCAAGAGCCTTTTGCCTGTTCTGAAGGAATCTGAGCAAAGATGAGGATGCCAACATGGGGGAATCCTGTCCTCCTTCATTTCTCCCTTGGGAAAAGACACCGCATCTAAGACAAAGAAGGCTTTGTTCCTCTGTAGACAGGCTCCATCCCCTTCAAACTGCCAGGCACTCATCTCCTCACAGTCCCTAGCCTCAGATTCCTGGTGGGCTTTGGTCAAGAAGAGGTGGTGGTAAAGCTAATGCCTCCAAGGCTGATGGCTGTGTGTTGATGGCATGGGGAGTGGTGGTCCGCAGGCACCACAGCTCTGCTTACCCCTCGGACCCTGCCAGCAGGATGGTGAAATGATGCCGACCCCAGCTCAGCTGCTGCCCGCAGCCCTCACGATCTGGCCAACAGAGCCCTCTTTGTTCTGACCTCTCTCAAATCAAAGGCAGCTCTGTGGGGAAAACCCTTCTGCTGGCCAGATTGGGACCAGCCTGGTGCCGTTCACCATCCCATGTAACAGACCTCTTCCTTCAGCGCCTGCGTATGAGGAGGCATAACCAAGACCTGTGTGTCACAGCTTGCAGGGGTTGATGGGTCTGAACTTTGTGCTCCATGGAGGGCAAAAGCAAGGGGCAGTAGCCCCAGGCTGTGTCTTTGGAGGTTCAAGCTAGATGTTGGGGAAAACGCTTCATCCCCAGGAGAACTGTGCAGCTCCCACTCAGGTCAACAGGAAGATGGAGAAGCTCCGTTCTTGGTATTCCCAAGCTCAGCTGGGCAGAGCCACAGCTGCTGTCATCTAGCGCTGGCAATGGTCCTACGCTGAGCAGGAGCTGGGTTAGTCACCTCCAGTGGGCCATTTCTTTGATCCTGTGGCCTGGTCCAGAGCTTTCCGTTTGCTCCCCCCACCACATACCAGGCCTTCTGAGCAGACCTGGGATATTGCAAAGGCTGCGACCCCTCAAGCGCAGCAGATAGGGACGGACACCTCGTGTGTAGCCTGATGGCAAAGGCCAGTTGAAAGTTATCCCTAGGAGGTGGGCTGGTTGGCTGGGAACAGAGTGGGCTGCTTCGAGGAGCTGACTGGCTGCCTGTTGCTTTTGTGGCTGTGTTTTTAACTCTGCTCTGTCTTCTCCCCCGCTCCCATCTCCCCTTGCAGTGAGAAGGCTTTGCAGTCAAACCACTTTGAACTAAGCATCAAAACAGAAGCCACTCAGGGGCTGATCCTGTGGAGTGGGAAGGGGCTGGAGCGATCGGACTACATTGCCCTCGCCATCGTGGATGGCTTCGTACAAATGACCTACGACCTCGGTTCCAAGCCAGTCGTCCTACGATCCACGGTCCCAGTCAACACCAACCAGTGGATTCATATCAAAGCGTACAGGTGTGAAGGCTGGCGGGGGGAGAACAGGACCCTGGCTGATTGCTCTGGGATGGGTGAGCTGTGAACCAGGGAGCCTGAGTCATGGCCATGGCTCCATGCCCTGTGATCCCCACGGGTCACTCCTCTTCTTGGATAATAATAGAGGAGAGACATGTGGGCAGTGCCATGTCGGAGGGGTGCATGTTGTGACACGCCTGGAAATGTCAAAGGGGCAGGCTCCAGGAGGTACGAAAGGTTCGTGCCTTTTATTTCAGCTGGCTGAGGGTTTGGCATTCTGTTTGTGTTGAGCCCAAGCCGTCCCTTGTATTTTTACTGGGGACGGGAGTGGCGAGCGGATCATGCGGCTGGCATGCCAGGGATTTCTGCTGATGGGTCTGGAGGGTGTGGGAGGAAGCTGTGGCCACTGGCAGGGCTGGCAGCAGGGCTGCGGGATGCCCAGGGGATGCTGGAGGACAGCGCTTGCCGCCGGCTGCGTGGCACTCCCCGGGGAGGCATGGCACCGAGGGCTGCTCCGTGCCATGTGGCCTGGCAAAGAGCTCTGCTCCCTGCTCCTCTCTGGGTGGAGAAGGGCTGACGGTGCCCAGGGTCTGGATTTGGCGTAAAGCAGAGGGCAGCTCTGGGTTTTTGTTTTTCCTCTAAGGTTGCTAATTGTGTTCTCTTTCTTCTTCCCTCCCTCTGGGAGCAGGGTACAGAGAGAAGGGTCCCTTCAAGTTGGCAACGAAGCCCCCGTCGCTGGCTCTTCTCCGCTTGGTGCAACACAGCTAGACACAGATGGGGCCCTGTGGCTGGGTAAGTTGGTGTGGAAGGGTGAGCTGGCTTTGCCAAGTGCTGCTCCGTTCCGTGTCACCGTGTCCCCTGAAGAGCTGTTAGCTGGCCCGTGGCTCTGGCCGCCCTGGCACGGAGCACCCTCTCCTCCTTGCAACTGGGAGTGCTCCCACCTGCCAGATTCCCTAACGTGCGGGAGCCTGGATTGGCCCACGAGCCTCCCAAACAATACTTGCTTGGGTAACTCTGGTCCCCAAAGGTGAAATGGCTGAATTGAGAGAAGGATGCTTCTGTCTGGAAATACATAAATACTCAGATATTAAATGTTGTTTTATTTGCATGACAGAATAAGCAGATGTGCCAGAACGTGCCCGTGTGTGCAGCAGAATCGGTTCCATTTGTGTTGACATAAGAATTTTGGTCCTACAAACAGAATTTGGCCCATTGCATCTACCTCACACTGCCTGTGGCACATCGGTCAGGACAGACAGAGGCTGGATTTGTGCTGTAACAGCTCAAATGGGCAAGAAATCCACCTACAAGGGTACCATAATTGTGCTTAACTACAAGTGGTACTAATCTGAGCTAAGGGGATAGTGAAGTCCTTTTTGGAGCCTGAAGGGAGGAAGGAAGGATGCCCAGCGCTCAGGGATGCTGCAGGTCCTGGGCTTCCTTCCTTGAGGAACTTGCACGACTCAGCTTCCCGTCTGTAGGTTCAGGACTGGGCTTCTCCTCGGGCAGGTGCTGTAGCAGTCCCAGTGTTCGTGATTGCAAGGGGCACAAAATCCCCAGAAATCCATGGTCAGCAACGTTCATCTGGGGATTTTGATCATCTGTAAAGAAGAAACAGTGAATTAGATTCTATTCATGCTTTTTGGAAGTATCTGTTCTTATTTTCCCAGTTGAAGCCTGTCGTTTCAGGTCTGACATGGCTTACAAAGAGCTCATACTCAAAAACGTAGCCTTACCTCTGAAAAGACAGCATCCCAGATGCCATTTCTCGTTCTGAAATCAACCCAGAAGTTATGTGGGAAGCAGAATTTTTCCATGAGAAATTTTTGCTTGGCTTCACCACTGGCTCTTCCAAAGGTTTTGTTTGCAATCAGCCTTTCATAATTTCAGGGCCTGATACGAACCGTAGTTGGTGTTTCAGTAACTGGAGTTAGTTTGAATTTGGGACCAACCTCCAAGGAAAGGATGTGTTTTAAGTTGAATTGATGTTTTAGAATGCAAATTACTGTTTTAAGTGTTTTCAGGAAGCCTGTATGTATTGTTTGGAACTGGCATTTCTCTGATTTAAATTGAAAGAAGTAGTGGCCAGGAAAGAGGTCTTTCCCTGCTGCTGGGGACATTCCCAGCAGTGCTGCACCGCGTGAGTGTGCGGTGCTGCCTGGGGCAGGCTGCTGGCCGCACGGCAGCGTGTCCTCTGTCCTCCCGCCCGACCTTCTGCGCTCTGTCTTGCAGGGGGAATGGAGAAGCTGAGCGTGGCTCACAAGCTGCCCAAGGCCTACAGCACTGGTTTTATTGGCTGCATACGGGACGTGATTGTCGACCGCCAAGAACTGCATCTGGTGGAGGACGCTTTAAACAACCCCAGGATATTACACTGCTCAGCCAAATAGACCCCCAGGGACCCTCCCTTCTCCTTCCCTCCCTCCTGCCTATTGCTGTAATTATTTTCTATTTTTGTAAACTTATTGCTTTTTATATTTTGGGGGGAGGGGGGAAAGGGAGGGGAGGAAACACCTTTTCTTTTGGGTTATTTGTTCGGTTGCAGTCTATCCAGGTCAGTCAGACTCTAATCAAACAGCAGCAACGAAGAACAAGCCTTGAACCAAGTCTCCAAGAAGTGACAGAAGAACTTCCCCATTGCACCTGCATTGTAAATCTTATTCATACTTGAAGCTTCTTTTTGAGTGATTTTTTTCCCCCTCCTTACTTGTGTTCTCGGGTTGTTGTTCACACCTGTGGGGGAAAGGATGCTGGTGCTGGCAAGACGAGCGGCCGTTGTGGATTCACCACCTTCCCATCTCAGGCCTGGCCCCAAAGTCCCCTCTGCAGCGCTGGCTGAGCAGGGAATAGCCATCAGAGAAGTGGGAATGACCACCCTGCTTCGGGGCCTGGCTCTGCCAAGCCTGTGTTCACCCTATCGCCCTCCTCCTCCCCTTCCTCTCACTCTAATTTATGTGTATAAGAATCTCGAGTGCTTTTCTCCTTTATGCTCTTAAAATCAGGGATGCCATGCACTGGAAGAGAGACCAAGGTCTGCTCTGAGCAGGCAGAAAAGCATTGCTCTTTGGTTGTCTTATGACTGTTCGCTGGACCGAGAGGTGCTGTGGGGGAAACGTTGATTTCTCTGTTGGCCCTTCTCCTCCTCCTCTTGGACATGTGCAGAAGCAGCTGTGAAACCTCATTCCCACGCTTTGTGTTTATCCAGACATGTCCTAACCACCTGCTTGCCCTGGCTGCTCTTCCCAAGAGCTTCTGTGTACCAAGTGTTGCCCTCCCATGCACCAGTGAGAACTTGCAGCGTGTCTTCAAGAGCTAGAAGTGCTCTCCCTCTTTCAGCACTGTCAAATGGGCTGTGAGGGCACGAGGATTGGGTCCCTTTTCACTTACAAAAAAATATCCGTTGGATGTGTCCTTCCATGACCCATGTCCGTTTTCCAGCCTCCGGGCATGACTTGCCCCCTGTCTACCATGAGGATGCTTGCAGCCGGCCAGCACGTGAATCTCCGTAGAGCTGGTATCAGAGGCTCTCCCATGAAGAGTAATTGGAGTCTGCCTTTGATTTCAAGTTTTTGCAATGCCCAGTGCAATGCAGGGTCTTCCACGCCATGATCAAAGCTCCTCTGGATACCGCCAGCCCAGCAGCGATAGCTTCAGTGGAAATGGGAATGGGGCGTGAGGCAGCTGTGGAGGCGGTAGGATCTGGGAGGAGGATTTTTAAGTATTTTCTTCCTCCATGCAAATCCTGAAAGCAAATACTGTGGTGCCAGTTACAAAGCCAGTATGTGTGTTTCTGAATGAGTGTGTGTGTGTTTGCGAGTGTCAACCGGCAGGCGTTTGTGTGCAAACACTGAATCTCCTGTAAGCAGGGGAAAAACAAACAGATTGCAGCTATGAAAGAAATGACCCACTCCATTCAAGTTCCTTCTCCATGGGAAGAATTTACTGATGCCGTGTAGCATCTCTGTCCCTTCTCGCCACTGGGATGCAACTGTGTCCCTTTCCCACCCTGAGATGGCAGCTGGCACTGCTCTGTGTAAAACCAGCTTTATGGAGCGTACGGAATTAATCTGAAGGATCCCGCCAGGTATTAAGTGTTAATTAATAGCCAGGGTGCCATCATTTTGGAGTTTTCCCTAAATTTCTAGCACACCTTGTGGTGTACCTTTACGAAGTAGTGCACCTTTTAAAAATGTTTCTAAGTTTTGAGCCATGAAAGGTCAAATTAGTTTTTCTCAGGGTGAGCTCTGAACACAGATGTAACAAAGGGGAAGAACGTAGTGTAAAACCACTTGGGTTTCTTTTTTCTTTTTTTTTTTTTTAAAAAA